GATCCTTCAGTCTGAAGGCCCCAGAATTCAGTATCTCTACCTTAAGCTGTGACCACAGAATCATTCAACAACTCTCATTACTTGTACTCCAAAAGCCACGGGGAATACTGAGACAAAAAAAGACTCCCTCCCAGCCCTCCCTAAGAGCCAACAAGGAAAGGGGAAAAAGACAGAGTCAGAGGTAAATTAGTTGGTCAGACTCCAACAGAGGCGGGGGTAAACCAAAGTGCCCCCTGCCAAGTGAAAGCACAACCTTCCCTGTCTGCAACAAGAAGACACTAATAGGATCCACCTCACTAAAGTTACAGGGAGGACTAAAGGAAATTAGCAGTCTGGGAGCTCTGATGTGTAGGGGCACAGTGCCTAGCCCCCAGCAGACATTCCTTCAACGCTGCCATCTCAACCTCCATCTCTGCAGACCTAGGAAGACACCTTAATCAGTCTTCCCAGGTTTTGACAGGTGGGTGACAGGAGGGAAAGGTGTGTTTGGAATCCTTTAGAAGCTTATTCCAAGTTTTGAGAGAGAGGAAAACCCTGGGACCCTCCCTCTGATCCAAGGGGACTCCCTTACCCAGGCTGCTGCAGAGAAGGAAGACCCATATGCTGAGCAGATGGCTCAAGAGTCCCTGCCCCTCCCACCATTAGCCCYGTTGCACCTGCCACTCTCTGACACTGGACACTTGACTACAAAAAGTAGTTGAAATATTCTTTGTTAAAAAGCTGGCAGCAGCTTCGGGCTGTCTTCAAATTGGCAGGTCCAAAGGAGCTAAAGGAACAGGGGTGGTAATAGTAACATCAAAAATAACTGGCATTTAAATAGCTTTTGGCACATGTGTCAGATAAGTTACCTGCAACAACATCAATTATCTCATTTACTCCTCAAAACTCACCCAAGGGGTAAACACCATCAGTAATCCCATTTTATTTAAGGGGAAACTGAGGTTGGCAGGCGTTAAGTAATCAGTTCATGGTCATGGGCCTAGTAACCAGAGGCAACAGGCAGTCTAATTCTAGAGGCTTCCTTCTACATTCTCTCACCCCGGCTCCTCTTCCTCCCCCTCTGGAACTGCTCTGGACTTTCTGGGCCAGGTGAGAGTCTAGAGAGCAACCTCACTACCACCTCCTGGCACTGGGGCCTGCATGTCTGCAAGACAGAGACCTGCAGAGTATGCGCGCACGTGCAGGCACCAGAGTCCCAGGTGCACAGGGGTCCTAGTTTCCTCCTGGCTGCCCTCCGCTGCACAAGCAGCCCTGGGCCCGGCCCCACAGCGCCCCGCCCGCCACATTACCCAGTTGCGGGCCCGGAAGGCCTGCACGCACTGCGAGCCCAGCGCGCCCCTGCCGCCGTACACCAGCACCCGGCGCGCCTCGCCCGCCGCCGCCGCCATGCCGCAGCTCCCCGCCGGCGCCGCTGTTCTCTAGGTCCGGACTGAGCGCCGCGCGGACTGCCGCCGCCTGGCCCTCCACCAAGGCAGGCGAGCTCGGCCGCCCAGGACCTGCGCCTGCGGCCACGCCCACATCCACCACGCCCCGGGGGCGGAGACACCGGCAAAGCCCCGCCTTCCGACCGTCTGTCACTCAGGAGGGTCCAGCCCCGGACAGTGGAGTGCAGCTTGGTGGACCGAGAGCGCGCGTGGCCGCACAGCGCYGTTGCACGAGGAGCTGGAAATCCAATGCAAAACAAACCTCCTAAAATACATTATTTATCTAAGTAAGAGTGCGGACTCTGCCTGCCCCACTGTTCGAAAGCTGTGTGGCCTAAGCGACTTCCTTTCTGACTCCATGCCTCAGTTTCCTCGGGAGTGAATTGGGAGGAATATTCTGTTTCCCCGGGGTTTGGGGAAGGATTGCAAAAGGTAATGCTGTTAGCAAACCCAGGTTCGGAAGCACATCYTCGGAAAAAACAGGATCCAAAACAGGAGAGGAAGGAAGGAAGGTTTTATCCGGTGGCCGAAGGAAAAAAGAAGGAGCTGTCTTGCTGACAAATCAACTTCTCAACTCTAGAGGGTGGAGGACATGTAGGGTACAAAGAATAAGATCGAGTAACAACGGCGAGGAATATTCACGTCTTTTCTGGGAATAGGTGGAGYTCTCCCAGGAACCCAGGGGTCACGGTTTTACGTTCCTTTCATGGTTTAGTGTTTCTGGTCCTGGTGGCAGGTAGCTGTGTTTAGCCTTCAMGCCGGGATAAAGACTGGGGAGTCCATGTCAAGTAAACCCTATATTATAGTTTTGATCAAAACAGTTCTCAAAATGATCAACATGTCTACATACAGTGCTGAGTGGAATCTGACCCAAAGGCAAAGAAGGCAAGGAAGGAGACAGGTGGCGAGCCTTTTCATCCAGTTCCAGTTCCTGTTCGACTCTGCAGGCCGGAGGGAAGAGTTGTTTTCAGCACAAGTGGCCTTCAATCTCTGAAGAGTAACCTAAGTAGCTGCTGTCATCATAACCCACAGTCAGAGGTGTCATCTGCAATAAAGCTAGTGGGAAACTATTAATATTTTGTCCAGTCATGTAGTCTGCAAAATTAGTCATTTTCAAGCGAGCTAAGAGAGGTGTCATTTACATTTTTCTCCATGACAATACTATAGTACTTAGAGGAATATATGGTATAGTTAAGTGGTAGGAGCTCAATAAATGTCAATGCCAGTAAGTGACTCCTGTGTGCTGGTTCATTTTATTCCACCAAACAATCCCATGACCAAGGAGAAAATTTGAACCCAGATCTTCAACAGCCAGGATTTGCTTAAGTACACCTCCAATCAGCACACCATGGGCTCCTTGGGAATCCTGTGTTATCCACAGAAATGATTATCCATTTCCTGGAAATGATTGCTTAATCCCTAAAGCACCAAAAGTTAAGAAGTTCACTATTTAGGGGGAAAAAAAGTGATACCACATTGGAATATTACTCGGCATTAAAAGAGAATAAAATCATGGAATTTGCAGATAAATGGATGGAGTTGGAGAATATCATGCTAAGCAAAGTAAGTCAATCCCAAAAAAACCAAAGGCCAAATGTTCTCTCTGATAAGTGGATGCTGCTCCATATGGGCCAGTGGAGGAGAGCATGGGGAAAATGGAGGAACTTTGATTGGGCAAAGGGGATGGAGGGGAGGGGAGGAGTATGGGGGCAGGAAAGATGGTGGAATGAGATGGACATCATTACCCAAGTTACATGTATGACTACACATATGGTGTGACACTACATCATGTACARAGAAATGAAAAGTTTGGCTTCAATTGTGTACAATGAATCAAAATGCATTCTGTTGTCATATATACCTAATTAAAATAAATAAATAATTTTTAAGGTATTTATTTTTTAGCTGTAGTTGGACACAATACCTTTRTTTCACTTATTTATTTTTATGTGGTGCTGAGGATCGAACCCAGTTCTTGCACGTGCAAGACAATTGCTCTACCGCTGAGCCACAACCCCAGCCCAATAAATAATTTTTTAAAAGTGATACCAAGGTGTTACACATATCCTGCTTTCTGAAGCCATACTTAATATTAAAATAATAATGTTAGCTAACATTGTGAATCATTTATTAAAGTTCCAAGAAGTCTTCTTTTTGTAATTTTTTATTTGTTCTTTTTAGTTATACATGACAGTAGAATTATTTTGACAGATTATACATTCATAGAGTATAACTTCCCATTCTTAGGGATGTATGTGATATGGAATTACATTTGTCTTGTATTCATACATGATCATAGGAAAGTAATGTCGGATTCATTCTCCTGTTTTTCCTATTTCCATTCCCTTCCCTTCCCCTCATTCCCCTTTGTCTAATCTGATGAACTTCTATTCTATCTTCCCACCCCACCCCCMACTCCTTATTGTGAGTTAGCATCGCACATCAGAGAGAATATTTGGCCTTTGGTTTTTTGGTATTGGCTTATTTCACTTAGTGTGATATTCTCCATTTCCAACCATTTACCAGCAAATGCCATAATTTCATTTTCAGCTTCAGAGATGATGGAATGTGTGGTAAAGCCACATGCAAGCTTCTGAAATGTTCTTCTTTACATTCATTGTAGAGCAGCCACTGATGTGAGTCCCCAATACGAAGAAGCAAGCTGTTACTTCTATAGCACATCCCTCTGCCACYCCCTCACTCCACGGGTGAGATTCCCAAGACTACTGCACCTTCCTGAGGCCCCTCCAGGTTTTTGTGACCAAATAAGAAAATTTGCTGTGCCATTTATGCCCAATTTTGTTCCCTGAGGTATTGACAGAGTGGCTGTTGCCAGTCACATGTGACATTAAGTTGACATTCACGGTACCATAAAAGTCAAAATTTAAAAAGCAATAGAAGACAGGAAGTAAATAATAATTCATTCCTAGTGTCTACAGGTTAAAAGAAAAAGAGAGATCTTCATTTTTAAAAGATATAAATACCCCAACAGTATAACCACTACTTGCTGACATATTCAACACACACACACTTCTCTGTCACATTTCAGATGACATGGAACATGGAGAAAGGGGAGAGGAATGTGAAGTATCAGGGTCCACAAATAGATTCATGTTGCAATTTTACCCTTTTCAGTTTCACCCAGGGATAAATCTGTAACACCCCAATTTACACATTTTAGTTGAAGCCTCAACAAACCGGTTGTTTGCTGGTGTTTTTAACGGTTCTGGGGATCTGACAGCAGTGACATTTTAGAGAAAGAAATGCCARGGCACACATCAAAGAGATCGACATTTGATACCGTGCCCTGTTGGCAACGGGCAAGTGCTCATTCTTCCATTTTTGGTTTTTCTTCTACCGTATGCATTTTTTGAGACTGGCGAGCATCTCTTCATGGTCAAGTCTGCCTGGTTTTGCTGGTTATTAACTTCCCCCCATCACTAGGAGGTCCAAACGAGGGTTGTTTAAATACTTGAACGGAGGAACAATTAAACCCTGTGCTGAAATACTAGTCTGGTGAGAGATAGGGTTACTCCCCTCAGTAACACACTCCACTGCGCGAGGAAGACGGTCTGCATGTGTTGTGACAGCACGGGCTGTGGAGGCCGGCACTGAGGGAGGACGAAGGGATGGACYCAAAATCTTGAAATGGTGTCCAGAAGATGTCAACAACCTCAGCTGTCACCGGGATGACCTGCACCCTCCAGCATGCCTGGATGGTTCAAAAAGGCATGGTACGGGCTGGCCTCTTTCCTGAGCTTCTCCTCCTTCCTGCTGATCATCGTCGCCCTGGCGGTGCCCCACTGGCTGAGTGGGAAAATCCTGTGTCAGACTGGAGTGGATCTGGTCAACGCCACGGATCCAGAGCTCGTCAAATTYATTGGGGACATTTACTACGGGCTCTTCCGAGGGTGTAAGGTGCGGCAGTGCGGTCTCGGGGGCCGCCGGTCCCAATTCACCAGTGAGTATATTGGGGGCATAAAAACTGACTTAGATGCTTGTTATTTCTTTTCATTTGCGAGGGTGCTCATGTGTGCATGTGGAATTTGAGGGATGTCTCAGTCTCGGGGGTAATGTCAAAGCCTGCCGTGAGCCAGAGGTTCTCATTCAGTACCAGAAAGAGACTCACTTCTTCCTTTTTTTTTTTTTAATAGAGGCATAGAGAAACATTACAAATAGGAATTTGCATATTTTTGTAGTTTATCTCTACTAATAWTGCCAATTAAATTTTTAATATTCAATATTAAAATATTGGGTCAAAAACATGGGTCAAACATTCCATCAAAGGCTTTGCCTGGCCTGTCTTTTTTAAGCCTTACAACCAACTTATAAAGAAAGAATCATTAATATGTCTRTTCTGCAGAGGAGTATTCTGAGGCTTGGAGAGTTGCATACCTGGCCTGAAGTCATTCAGCCAGGAAACAGCAGAACCAGAGGCCAGAAGCGTGTCACATGACTCTGGTGTCCTGGACAATTACTTGCGGGTGTAGACCCTCTGCAGAAATGAGCCTTGAGGAAATGTGGCAACTGCTTCCACGTCAGTGTATATCAAAGCTTCCCAGCCTCAGAAAAGAGCAAGGGGCCTCTGCACATGGATTATGGGATCAGACTCCCCAGGTTCGTGGCACAGTGGCTGTTTACTGGTGGGGACACCCAGGCAGGGCGCTTGACGGCTCACAGGGAACGTGAGCAGACGCTGGCACTGGCCTGAGTTCAGCCTGGGATCAGAGCCACCCAGGATGTCAACAAAGCAGTCCTCTAAGTCATGAAGCCAGGAATCTAATCTGGCTTAAGAACTGTCCTCCAGGAAGGAAAACCAAAAAAAGACAATATTCTATAAACCTTTAGAATCCAAAAATTAGATTGCCAATGAGAATGACGACCCACAAAACCATCATTAATCGGCCCTGTGCTGATGCACGAGCATCAGGAACTTTATTTAGTGCAGGATTGTCACAGTGTTTAGAAACCTGACCAGGGCACATAAGCTACCCTGTGTAAAGAGGAAAAGCTGGCAACACTGACTATTGTAATACAAATTGCTGTCCTTTATATACATGAAGAAAAGACATGTTTCTTATGTTTAGTTAGGAAACATCTCTGAGCATATTTTTATTTACTCAGCAATTAAATTGGACCCGCACATGGGAAAAAGAGATCCATTAAAAATATAACCTAAAACCAAATAGGGCAGTGCACACCTATAATCCCAGCTACTTGGCAGACTGAGGCAGGAGAATTGCAAGTTCAAGGCCAGCCTTGGCAACTTAGTGAGACCCACTCTCTAAATAAAATAAAAATGGCTCTGGACATCACTCAGTGATAGAGCACTTGCCTAGTATGCTCAAGACCCTGGATTCGACCCCAGTATGAATCGTAACCTAAAAGGTTTATAAATACAAAGAAATTAGAATAAAGAAAGTGTTAAAAGGGGACCATGAAAATTTTATGCTGTTCTTGATTCTAAACTGCATCCCCTGGCTGCAAAGGATGCCATTGGGACCATCAGTGAAACTGGAATAAATGCTATCAACTGGGCCTCACGAGCCATTGGGGTCTTAAAGATAAGACCCCACCGTTCCAGGCCACAGAAATTCAAACTGCCTCAGTTACAAGCCATAGTGCTCATTTATGAGCACTTGCTGTTTGCTCTCTGGAGGAACTCAAATCAATGTTCCCTTCCGTGCTGTCTCTTCCTTCTCAAAGAGACAGACACCCTTGGGCCTCAGGCCTCTGGGTTCCTCTAACAGGGTCTGGTCCCTAAGGCATCCAAACTGAATGAGATGCAYAAGGGATGCTATTTATCTCTAGCTGTGAGTATCATGAGCATTGCAGCTACTGAGAATGTCTGGTTTCCTGCTGCCCCCGGGCCTCCCAGAGGAGGGGGCTTTCAAGGTTGGAAGTGATTCTCTTTGAAATCTTTCATGGGAGCCTGGGGCAGGCTCCTCCTGTGATGAGCTGACTTTACCTCTGCACTTCAGGGACACTGCGTACCTTATCATGTCCTCTGGCGCAAATCTAGTTTCCTTTAGATTTACAGCCCTTTATTCCAGCACCATGTAGCCCTGAGGCAGCTGCGGGGTGTATCAGACACTCCCACCTCTGACTTGAAGTCAGGATTTACCAACCTCTGCCACTTAATGTTGATCTGTGAAAAAATATCCCTGTTTACAAGGCCTTGCACGGATCAGGRAAGAGGAGTCTGTGAAAGCGCTCTGTAAACCGTGATCAGGGAGTTTTTACTGGGTCTCATTTACAAACAGCGTCCTTTCTCACCATCACAGAGGTCTCCCAGGAACCGCCCCAGAGAAACACTTCCCCATCCATCACAGGGAAAACCCAATTACTATTCATCACAAAAGGTGAAGGTCTTCTTTTATACCTAGACCTTCTGAAACCAAAACAAGTTAACCTGCTCTTGGGTGGCTAGGGAAAGAAAGAGAGAAACATTAACAGTGTCCACACATTCAACCGTGTTAAGGATTTCCAGACCAGATGCTGATAGGAAGCCAGGGACAAGTCAATCGGACAAGTGCCCCCCCTCCAGGGCCTCGAAGAGGAAGTGTGAACGAGGCACAGGGCACCCTGGGATCTCAAGCTTTTTTCTGAGMTTCATTTCCTTCCATCTTGGTGCACTAGAAGAAAGACTTTAGCGTGCTCATTTTGTGAAGAAAATTAATTGAGGATCAAAGAAATCGATACTTGAAATAATTTCTGTAAAAGCACTTAACATAATAGGTGTGCTGTGGTTTTTARTTCTTGGGTTACCTCCCTTCTTCCTACCCCTGAAGTGTTTCTCCAGCAGCCAAGACCTGCTTATTTGTCTTGCTGGGACTAAATAGGCTGTCACACTTCACTGCGATCAGGAGCAGACAAATTATCTAAACTTCAGGTACTGATAGAATGATTAATTGATTCTGGCATTCAAGCAAGCCAACTCTAATACGTACAAAATAAGAACATTTATTCCAATGCAAAATAAAACCTCTCGAATTCAAGCTACGCTATTATTAACATTGTCAACCTTTATTTATCCAAGTTTCCTGACTTTTCAGTGATGAGCTCTACAGCAGAATAATTTAGGCAGCCCTTGCTGGCTGTGTGTGTGTGCCCTTGGCAAAGCTACTTAACTTCCCTGAGCTTCAATTTCCTCATCTGTAAGAATGAGAGAGAGGGTAGCCAGGCTCAGTAAAAAGAAAACGTGTATTCAGTGCCTGCACCGTTTGCACCTGATCGAGGTAGCTGTTGTCATTTATGACTGTGGATCTTCTGTGTTTCTGTCACGCATTGCAGGCTGGAAAGTTACATTTCAGAGTTTACCCAAAACTCTTAGAAATGGAACAGACACGAAGGCAAGTGAGCAGCAGCTTTCAGGGGGGCAGCACTTGGGACAGGAACACAGGTCGAGTCACCCTCAAAGACAGATGGAAAGAACAGATGCCCTGAAACTCCAGAGGAGAGACTCAGTTTCCACCTAGTGACACATGGAAAATAAGTAACCTTTCAAGACACAGGGACATCTGAGCCCAGGCATGTGGCACGTGAATGTGGGCATTAGATGAGATTCACCCTTTGCCAATGAAGAACTGTTTTAAATATAATTAATACACTTCCTACGATGGAGGCCCAAGTTCAGGCTCTCTCCCTCCCTCTCCCCATCCCTCCATATGTCCAAAATCCCCTCCCTCACCATCTAATATGCTTACTTCTCAGTATTTTAGTAAATTAATATGGATATGGGCTGGGATCATCATGTGTATGATTAGTTGTTGTTTTTTTAAGCTATATTGCATGGTTGTTCCTTAATTTATTAAATCAGTCTCCCGTGGATTCACACGTTGGTTTCTCTCCCGTCTTTTGCTGTTGTGATGAACATCCCACCTCTGCTGCTTTAAGCACCTGTAGAAATGTGCCTGGAAAATAGATTCCTGGAAGTGAAATTGCTTTAACAGATGCTGCCAAATTGCCCTCTTACTGGGTTGGAAAATCAACATCCCTACAGCATTTGAGAGTAGGGAGAATTAGCAAATATTTTATACGTGGCCACCTCACAGGTGACTCTTCTCTGTGGGAAGGATTCGGTGAGGATTGATAACTAAGCAGGTCATGTATCCTACGGATTGCATGATCAAGAAAGGGGACAACAGAACAATTAGGTAATCAAGTGTGAGCGACCATTTTAGGAATAAAAAGAGCCTGAGGAGTTGAAAGGGTGAAAAAATAAAATCTAAAGGAAGGCAGGTGGAGGGAAGGAAGATGCCTTAGAGAGACAAACTCCCTGAAAGGAGCTCAGCTTCCCAGGTCGAGTTTCCCAGGTCAGTGAGACAACAATACACGGAAACACAAAACGGAAAGAAAGTTCAATCAGAACTAAGGACGCAAGCGCCGAGTTCAGACCCTGCAGGTAGAAAGGATGTCGTAAGGAGAGCACAAAGCCTTGGTTCTCAGGCTTGGCTAATGGCAGCTTTGGTGAATAAGGGAAGGMAGGCAGCCAGCAAGGGTAGAAGGAGTGAGAGTAGAACCAGGAAGGCCTTGGGTCTTGGCCCCTGAAGGGAGGGGGCTGGGGAGGGCTGGTCAGTTGAATCAGAGACTCCCCGCTGGGCCCAGGCTCCCCCAGGAGGTACTCAGCCGAAACCCTGGAGTGGCTGCTGAGAAATAGGCATGCTCAGGAGTCCTTTCACTGTCCTTTATAATTAGTAAGAACTGACTTGGATTTCTTTATATCACATAGTACTCAGTCTAAAACCCTGTGTAGACTTCAGAGACACATTGCCCAAGACAGGAACCTTCGTGTCTCTGAGCCTGTGGGTAAAGGAGTTGGTAAGATCATCCTCACTTCATTACCACGAGGACTGAATGAAGTGATGGGTACAAAACGCTCAGCCGGTGACTTTGCTCAGCCAAAGCTGATCACCCTCAACTCATCGGCAATCATCACTCTCCATTATACTGATGAAGAAACGGAGGTTCTGAGAGGCCACATGACCYTCCCAAGTCAGAGGGTAAAAGTGACAACAGCGCCCACTGCTGCCATTGTTGGGAAGCTGTCCTCCCAGGCAACCTTTGATGAGTAAGTACTGGTGGCACATAGACAGGAAACAAATAGAATCTCTCACTAAACCACCCTGCCACACTTGTACAGAAAATTCATATTTTCATAAAATATTGTGCAACACAAGGATTAAGTGTCCTTGGTCCTTGGGGGCAATGAGATCCACCTTGCCCTGGGGTGGGCTCATGTGCCTCCGGGCACAGCAGGTCTCAGAGCTGCCAGGTCAGGGATGTTGTGGTCACTCCAAGGAAGAGAAGATTGCTGGTCACCTGACAACTGGGGACTTGGGGGGCCAGGGTTTCACCCAGGAAGCCCCCTGTTTTGGAAAACATAGCGAGAGTCGTCTTCTCGGTCAAAGCCCAGGTGGGAGGCAGCTTGGGCTTTCTGAAAGGCACCAAGCTCCGACTGAAATACCAGCTGTGTCCTCTCCCCCCAGTCTTTCCGAACCTGGTGAAGGAGCTCAACACGGGCCTCCACGTGACGATTCTGCTGCTCCTCTTCCTGGCCTTGGCCCTGGCTCTGGTCAGCATGGGCTTTGCTGTCCTCAACATGGTCCAGGTCCCCTACCGGGCGGTCAACGGCCCTGGAGGCATCTGCCTGTGGAATGTCCTGGCAGGTAAGATGTCCCGTGGGGATAGAAATTCAGGTCCATCACCATCACCAGGCGGGCTCCACGTGGCTGGGCGAAAGAGTGGAGGGATTTAAATGTCCACCTTCAACCTTCAGCTGTCACTCGGTGGCCAGGAAATGCCCTCTTTACTAAGTCCCCGAGGCTTTCAAAATAAAGGACCGTGCTGTTAGAATAGTCTTCACTTAGAGCAGTGAGGAGAGGTCAGGGTGAAGGGGAAGAGCTGGGGACAGGAGAGGTGGGCATGGTGAGGGGTCAGACGGTGGCCACCGCTGCAGCTGGGCCTGCAAGGAGCCAGCACAAATGACAGCAGAGAGGGCCATGGGAGCACCAGAGCCATCTGTGAAAGGCTGTTCCTTCCAGGTTCCAGGCAGAGAAAGGAGCAGTAAGTGCCAGTGTCTAGGGCACCCGCCCCCAGGACACCCCCCTCTCCTCCTCAGACACCTTCTCTGTTCCACGCCCTGATGCTAGATGCCGATCGCGGAGCCTCCTCTAAGTGCCAGGCATGGGCCTGGGGATTTCCCGTACCTTATTTAAGTCTCAGAATCCCCATGAGGAGGTTTGTCAGACCCGTATTTACCAGTGAAGAGTCAGAGAAGTTAAAAGGTCTCACAGCGATGAGTAGGAGGAGTGGCATTGCAACCCAAGATGACTGATTCTAAGTCCTTTGACTTTTCGTTGATCAGTGGTCTTATTCCCAAACCAAAAACTTTTCCAAGACAACAGCGTGTGTGTTTGTGGGAGTGTGTGTGGATCTATGGATACACAGAAATTGATCCACATTTAATTATGCCCTTAACAAATCATCTGTGATGAAAGTAACAAAGTCCCTCGAAACAAGGGCTAATAAAACCATTACGGCAATAACCCCTCACCACCTTCACTTAAGACAAAGTGACCGTCAAGTATAATGTGTTATTTTACCATATATTATAATGCAGTGTCAAGAATCAATTATTAGGGCTGGGGATATAGCTCAGTTGGTACAGTGCTTGATTCACATGTACAAGGCCCTGGGTTCAGTCCCCAGCACCACAAAAAAAAAAAAAAAAAATCAATAACTTTGTATTTTCCTATCCTTCAGATGCTGACTCCCTGTAGAATTATCTGTGCACGTGCTTACCCACGTCTAGACCTAAGGTATCCTGTTCCTCTCTGTACGCACCCTCAGAGCGGCTGGCATATAAAAAGTTCTCAATCCTGCTTGCTAAATAAATGATTATCTCTGTCAATTTCCCTCCTCAAAGAGAAGGGACTCTCAAAATCTACTGATGAGAGTAAAAAAAGCAAGCAGTTGGACAAAACTGTAGTGTCCAAAGCCATAAAAACATGGATAGCCTTTGAACAACTCCACATGGGGTTTTGTGCTAAGGAAATAACAGAACAAAAGCATAAGATGTACATAAAATGATGTTTACTGCAACAACTTATAATATCAAAACTGGAAGCCATCTGGATTTCCAGAAATAAGGTCATACTTAAACAAATTAAAGTGTGTGTCCAGAATAAAATACTCTGCACCTATTTCAAAATTGTACTGCAACAGGACATTTAACAATATGGAAAAATGTTCAAGTGAAGGGGAAAAATTCAAATTTAAAATTCAAGTAAGAGCACCATAATACCAATTGTATGAAGGGGAAAGAAACGTGGCCAAATATACTAATGTGTTCAAAGTGTTTATTCCTGGCTTTTAGGATAAAAGTAAATCTGTGTTTTCCATGATGACAGATGTCACTGGTGTCCAGATTCTCTCCTTGGTGAGGATGTAATAACCTCATAAAAGCATAATAAATGCATTTTTGAAAATATTAATTTAAACCAGAACAGGGAAGGAGATATACCCAGTGGGAGACAGAGAGGAAAAGACAGAGACCCAAGAACATCAAAGTTCCAAGCAAGTGATAAGGAGGTAGATGAGGTTGGGAATTCTGGATTTTTCCCTCCCTATTTTCCCCCTTCTACAGCCTTCAGCAGCTGAGAACCTAACAGTTCAGTCAGGTGAAACCCACCTGCAGAATCCCCTCCCYAGCTCCTCCCACCAGTCCTCAGCTCCATACAGAAATCCAGATGTTCAGAGGCCGAACTTCTCCAGATGATCCCTGAGAAAGAATGGTGCTGGGAGAGGGAGGGAGTTGGAGAAGGATTCAAAGTCGATCCAACCCAGGGCTTATGCTCCTTCTCACCTGGGCCACCTGTCACCTTCAGCTGGGTGGGTCTGCTGCCGCTTTGTTAAAACAAATTAAAATTTGTGTTGTGTTTTAGACCCAAAGCAAGTTTGTGACCCACGGCACAGAAATGCCACTTCACACAGAGTCCTTAGGACTGCRAGGAGCCGTGGTGACTGATGACTCAGGGCGGGTTTTGGGTTTCAGGTGGAGTGGTGGCCTTGGCCATCGCCAGCTTCATGGCTGCGGTGAGATCGCACCACCTGACCGAGCGCATCGCCAACTTCCAGGAGAACCTCTTCCAGTTCGTTGTGGTGGAGGAGCGGTACGAAGAGTCCTTCTGGATCTGCGTGGCCAGTGCGTCAGCCCATGCGGCCAACTTGGTCGTGGTGGCCGTCAGTCAGATTCCCCTCCCCGAGATCAAAACCAAAATCAAAGAGGCCACAGTCACTGCTGAGGACATCTTGTACTGACGGCCCCCTCCTGCTCACGCCCTTCCTAAATCGGTCCCCCAGTGGGAGGGGGACCTCAGGTTGTGCAGTCTTCCCGTACTGTAGTGTCCCTGTTCTTGGTGGTAGGAAGGGTGTGGACGGAGTAACCTGGGGTGGAGGGCTCTGGTTCTGGGAAGTAAGGCTTCCTGGCAATCCCCCAAACACTGAGTCTCTCTCAGGCCTCTGGAGTTTGCCTTGGAGACTTGGCCACTTGCCGTCTGTGTGTCACATTGGACAATTCACTTAGTGTCTATTTTTCAATTTCCTCATCTGTAAAACTTCATAAGTTTGTTATGAGTTTTATAAGAGTGATGGTGTCGGGGGCAGAGCACTCTAGAAATCCAGGGTACCRTATACTCCAGTAAGTGTCCATAGACCCTTGGTCCATCCCACACAGTATTTAGGGGGTGTCTGAAGAGGAATATAATAATAACGTCCTGGTCTTTGAGAAACACCTAATCTTCCTACATGACAGTAATTAGCAATAATAACACTAAGAATGAAAATYACCATTTTTTGAGTGGGTACTATGTTCTGGACCCTGTTCTCAGAATTTTTGCACACATTAACTTGTTAGATCCTCTGCAAACTCAGGTGGTAGGTGCTATTGTAGCCCATTTGACAGATAAAAGAACTAAGATGTGGAGAAGCTGGGTGACTTGCTGAGGTCAGGAATTAAGTCCAGGAGGCCTGGAACCAGGATCTGTACTTTTGACCACTCTACTAACCTGTGGTGGATAGAGGAGCAATCGCAATGCACTATGGTAAGTGCTGAAATCAGACAGGTGTAGAGGACCCAGGAAGGAATTAGAGCTTCAGCAAGGCATGTGGCATGAAGAAAGTGTCACAGAGCCAATATCTGATCTGCACTGTAAAAGATGAGTGGGCTGCTTCCAGGGGTAAAGAAGCAAGGTTGGCGAGGGGCATTGCAGCGTGCATCAGTACAGAGGATCCCAGGCACAGGCATGAAATTCCAAGAAGGGCACACAGGCACGTGAATGCTCAGTGGGATGAGAACGCTGCTCTAATTGGAGAAACCCGGTGGCTTTGCGTTGGGCTTTCCTAAGAAATGCCGTGATGGTTGATTTCATGTGTCCACTTGGCCAGGACATGGTCCCTGGATATTTGGTCAGACACTATCATCGATATTTTTCTGAAGATATCTTCTGATGAGATTCACATTTAAATCTTACCTTCCATAATGTGGGTGAGCCTCATCCAATCAGTAGAAGGCCTTAATGGAAGAAAGCCTGATCTCCCGGTGGGTCGGGAGGACTCTGCTAGCACACTACCTTGGCACTTGAACCCTAACTCTTCCCCAATCCCCAGCCTATCTGCACACCCTGCAGATTCTGGACTTGCCAGCTTCCACAACCATTGAACCAACTCCTAACCACCACCCCTTTTCTCTCTCTTTCCCTATTTCTCCCTCCACCCATCCCTCTCTCCCTGTCCAGTTCCTTGGTATCTTCTAGGGATTAATTCTAAGATCTCTGTCAAATACCAAAATGCACAGATGATCAAATCCCCTGTATAAAATGGCCTAGTGTCTGCATGTCACCCTTACAATCCTCTTAGGTAAAAATCATTTCTTGATCACTGGTAAAAAATGCATAAAACAATGTAAATGCTACGTAAATACTTGTTATATTGTTAAGGGAATCATGACAAGAAAAAACAGACCTGTTCATGTTAATTATCCTAGGCCTAACCATATTACTGATCCTCAGTTGGTTGAATCTGTGTATGCAGAACATGGATAGGAAGGGCCACCTGCACACATGCACACACACACACACACACACACACACACACACACACACACTCACCCATCCTCTATGGCTCCATTTCTCTGGAGAACCCTAGCTAATACAAGTACCCAACCCACCCATTGTTCTGAGACACCAGCTGGGTGGAATCCTTTCCCAGGCCTCCTGTCTTCATGCCAAATAAACATCACCTAACCCCTGCCTCCAAATAACCAATCTAAAAGGACACCTGATTTGGTGGCTTCAGGAAGTTTCCTTAGCACCTCTCTGTGCTAAATGCTTATAATTCCCCGATGGGCCCATCTGTCCCTGTACCAGCACAACTTCAGTATTTTTTGTGGACTAATTCAGATGGCATGTGGCTAGAAGGAAGTTCATGTGATAGGAGAGCATCAAAGGATAGCAACAGCACCATGCTGCCCGAAAACATAAAGAAATGTCAGCATCATATCCAGATGAACACAAAGTCCAGCTGATGGGTTTAAAAAACATAAGTACACAAGAATCTCACAATAGTTTACATTCTAAGGATCTAAGGATCTTGGCGCATTTATTCCTTCAACAAGTGTTGACACAATTCACAATAGCTAAACTGTAGAACCAGCCTAGATGCCCTTCAATGGGTGAATGGAT